TCTTTCCTGACCTTTCGCTTCCTCAGCCCCTTCGAACCTGCCTCAATATAAATGAAACGAAAACGGATATGAAAACCGTGTGAGTCAGTTACCTGAACTTTACTCACGTCCACCTTTCTCTTGTCACTACTGGCCTTTTCTGCCGCCTTCTTCTGTTGCTGAGGGCCTTTCCCAAAGAACGTGTAGTTTACAAATGCGTATTCCAGCAAGGCGAGGAACACAAACACAAAACAGCCCATTAGGTAGATGTCGATTGCTTTCACGTACGGAATCTTTGGCAGTGTCTCCCTGAGATGAGTGCTGATGGTAGTCATCGTCAACACAGTGGTGATTCCTGGGATGCGAGAGAAGAGCCGGCGTCAGGCAACTCTGTACACAGGAGACACCACCAGTATGCTAGTGGACTTTCCCAATGGATTTGAAATACAGGTCCCATTTGCACATCTTTGCAGCCTAATGTAGGGAGACAGTGAGTAGTGACAGTGAGGGAGAAATGGCATCTTATATGGGGATGCTAAGAAGTGATGCATGACTATGGCCCCGGTCACACGGGCCAGATAATGGGCGGGGGGGAGGCGTGGCTGTTCGCCCCGGAGCAAAATAAAGCGCGGTAGCTTGATCACACGGTCCCCCGAGTCTCCGTGCTTTGGCTGTTAGCTGGTGATCACACGGCGACGCTGCAGCATGGCAAAGTTTGTGCGCATGCGCAGTTCTGCGGAGCAGCACTGCTTTCAGTTTTGTGTTTGTGCGCATGCGCTTACAGAAAACATCTGGTTTGCGAGGGGACGTGGACAGGCGCCGGATGCCACGGGATACTAGTGCTCCCATGATCAGGCACCCACCTGTGCCGCACGTTTTCCAGATACTAGTGCACTTTCCTTGGTACTTTTTAACTCCACATCTTTGGTAGGACGCCATGGGTTGGCCACGGGTGCGCTACGCTTCCCAGATGTTGCGGTGTGATCGCGCCCCAAAAATCTGCCCAACATTCATGCCTTTCGCACGGCAAATTCTCCGTGTGACCGGAGCCTATGAATGGCTTCCTCGAACTCGTTTTGCTTACGTACAAGCTGAACTCCTGATCAACGTTTACAGCTGATGTTCTACTTAAGTACTGTGACAAGCAGCTTTCTTTTTTTTCTTTTCTTAAAATTTAAAAGAACAGTTAAAAAATAGGAAAGCAAATCCTGATGTTTATGCAGAGCAAACAGGGAAGTGTCGATTTTATGTGTTGCTGACGATTCTAAGAGGGGCATCCATTTTTCTTGGAGGTTGTCAGGGACAGGTTGATTTTCAGATCAAAGGATACTAGTGGAAACTTTGTCCTGTAGAAAAAAGTCCCACAACTTCAGATACCAGTCGCTCAGGCCAAGCAGCTTTCCACTTCCACAGCAGCTGCTTGTGCTATAGGGTGATGGCTGGAGGGTGCCTTGGTAATAAGTTACAAGCACATGCCAACTTCGAGAGAGCCAGTTTGGTGTAGTGATTAAGAGCAGTGGACTCTAATTTGGGAGAATTGGGTTTGATTCCCCACTCCTCCACATACAGCTGCTGGTGTGACCTTGGGTCAGTCACAAGTTCTCTCAGAGCTGTTCTCTCAAGAGCAGGTCTCAGTCAGAGCGCTCTCAGCCCCACCTACCTCACAGGCTGTCTGTTGTGGGGAGGGGAAGGGAAAGGAGATTGTAAGCCACTCTGAGACTACGGGTATAAATCCAATTTCTCTTCTTCATCTTCTTCATTGTCTTCGTTGTCTTTGTCTTCTTTGTCTTCATTGTTGCTGTCTTCGTTGTCATCTTTGTCTTCGTCTTCCTCCTTCTTTTTGCTGTTGCATTGCCCACTAATGAAATCTACTTGATTATCAGCATGTATTCCCCAGACCTGCGGTCATGACACTACGGCAGACCTATTTGCCAAGCAGGGAACCACTTGAAGTTCATCCTCACTTTGTGCCTCTGCAGTTGGATGCATCCTTTAAATAACCCCGCAGCGGGTACATTTCCTGGTTTTTGTGCTCGTATAGTCAGTGGTGGTTATTGTGAAATGAACCCTTGGGCTTGGGACCCAGAATACCTGAAGGCCCATCTCCTCCTGTACTATCTAGATCTCCAGTTAAGATCTGCCTCTTAAGCCTGGCCAGTTTGGTGTAGTGGTTAGGAGCATGGACTCTGAACTGGGAGATCTGGGTTTGATCCCCCACTCCTCCACATGCAGCTGATGGTGTGACTTTGGGTCTATTACCAGTTAGTTCAGGGTGTCTGTGGTGGAGAGGGGAAGGGAAAGGAGATTGTAAGATGCTCTGAGACTCTGAGTGAAAGGCAGGGTATAAATCCAATCTCTCCTCCTCCTCCTCCTGCCCCCCCCCGTTCTGTGCCTTCTTTCTCTCTGTGCTCTTACCTTCAGAGCTGAAGCAAGAGATGGCACTTCACTTTTGGAATACCCTCCCCCTTGAAGCTTGCCTGGTACCTCTCTGCGTTTGGGCTTCCTTTCCCCTGCTTGCTACATCTCCCCACCATACCAGTGCTCCATCAGTTTCTGCCCCCCAAATGCTGCGCTGCTGCTGTTGGGCCTGGCACCCTTAGATCTGGGGTGCATGGAACTGAGCAGGGAAAGTGTAGAACATATTTCTTCTTGGATGGCTAAAGTTTTTTTTTTTTTTTAACAGGAATAATATCATCCCCAACTGAGCAATGTCTCTTCTGGAGACAAATCCATGGTTTCTCAATGATTATCAGCCATGATAGCTAAATAGAAATCTCCACATTCAGAGACAGTGTGCTTTTGGTTTCAATAGTGGGGGGCAAAGAATCGGGGTTAATGGATGTGAGCTTCTTGAAGCATCTAAGTGGCATCTAAGTGGCCATTGTTGGACTGGACTCTGACTTGACCCAGAAACTGAATTCTTCTCTTGTTCTTATTTCACGATGCACAAGCCGGTCGTGAGACTTACTGTACCAACACAATGTCCTAAACCATGGTGACAGATCAAGATGGGTAGCCGTGTTAGTCTGTCTGTAGCAGCAGAAAAGAGCAAGAGTCCCGTTGCACCTGAAGGAGTGAGGAGTGACTCACAAAAGCTCCTACCCTGCCACATATTTTGTTAGTCTTTGGCCCCGGTCACACGGGAGACTTTGGCCCGGGAGAGGGACGGATCGGGGGCGCAGCAAACGGGCACGATCTCACTGCAACATCTGGGAAGCAGCATGCACCCGTCCCCGATCCGTCCCTAAACCCGGAAAACCCGCTGCAAAAAAGAACCTCCTACAGAGGAGGACTTATCTGAAGCACCGCTGCAAGTGTGGCTGTGGGATCGCCGCCGCACCCGTTGTCCGGGTCAATCCAGGCTCCCCGCGGAACTGCACATGCGCACACATGTGCAGTTTGGCTGTCGTGCTCTTTTTTCTGATCATGCCGGGGAGGAAGTGCGCGGCGGCTCAGGGGATCTATGTGATCCCACCGCCGCGTCTCTCTTTTGGTGTGGCTTTAGAAAGCCGCACTTTGTCCGTGCTACCCCCCCCCCCGTGTGGCAGGGGCCTTAAAGGTGCTACTGGACTTTTGCTCTGATAAACCATGGTATTACTATGTCTTTGTGGCAGCCCTGGCCTGGGTGGCCGCATGGTCAAGAGAAAAGATTACCTAGCGCCACTCTTGCAGCAGATGCATCATAGTTGATCCAGAAAGATACCCATGACAGAATTGTGATCAGAGTCGAAGGCATGTAGGTTTGCAAAATGAAGTAACCGATGTTTCTTTTGAGCCGAAAACTCAGCGACAACCGAGGGTATGCCCCTGTTAAACGCAAATGGGAAAAAAACATGATGCTAGGAATACCATTTTTTCTGTGTGGCTGTTTCTGATGTTTGACTTGTGAGGTTCAGTGCTTACCTGTTGCAAATTCCACTCTTTTTGAGATCATCTTGTAATCAATAATTGAGAATTGGGGGAGCTCAATTTTGTTCACTCCCGTGACTGCTGTTTCCTCTCCGTTCCAGTAGAACTCAATATCTTCAGTTGTGTATCCATCTGTAAAAGGAGGGGGAAAGTAACAGGATGACGTTTGTTGACAACCTTTTAATCTACTGAACTTTTGCTTTTTTTGAAGAACTACGGCAAGATGAACAGATTCCCCTGAGGAAGCCTGTTGGTGAAATGTGTAGAGATTTTTTAAAAATGTAACCGAGTAATAAAAAATATTTTTGCGTGGTTTTGCACCATCAGCCATGGCCCTATTTTTTAAACTCCTCTGACAACGTTTTTAAAAACAAGGTATTTTTATAAAGTTTTTAAGCAATGCCAATGACAATGAAACCTGCCTTGGGTTACGGTATACTCGGGAGAAATGTGGGTGTGCAACTTTCGAACCATTAAAAAGAATACAAATAAAGAAAAACAATGCAGGGGTATGACGCTGCCTTGTCCTGTCTCAGAACATTGGTTCAACAAAGTTGATATTGAGTGCGTTCGCGCATGCTAAATAATGCAGTTTCAATCCACTTCAGCGACTGTTTGCACATGGATTTTGCCATTTCATGCAGTAAAATCCAGTTGCAATGTGCACTGGAAGTGGATTGAAAGTGCACGTGCCTGGCAGCAGCTCTCCTGAATCTCAGGCAGAGAGAGGTCTTTCTCATTGACTGCTACCTGATGTCCTTCAACTGGACATGCCAGGGACTGAACTTGTGGCCTTCTGCAACCAAAACATCTATATATCTAATAGCCAAGTTGCCCCCTGAGTGCGGATCGCTAAATCAGCGCTCCGGGGGCACTTGGGGGGGGAGGGGGAGGTTTGTGCACACGTGGGCCAGTCCCCACGTGTGCACAAAAATCGAAAAAGTTGAAAAAAAAAATTCGGGGGGATGTTTAAATCCCCCCCAAAGTGACAGAGCGTCCCCTGCGCATGCGCAGGGAACGCTGTCTACCACTGAGCCACAGCCATAGGGGCCATCCCCTTGCACACAGCTCAATGCTCTCATGTGGAGTATCTACAAGTCAGTGAACGGTATCCATTTCATCTATCTATCTATCATCTATCAATCTATCATCTATCAATCTATCATCTATCTATCAATCTATCATCTATCTATCTATCTATCTATCTATCTGAAAAGTACTCAGAACGAAGAGTGATTTCAGCAAGAGTACTTTATTTAGTGGAGAACAAGACAAGGACCCCCGGCACGCAGGCCGGTATATATGCCCAGAACCCACCACCAAAACACACCCCCTAGTGACCCTATAGGTTATTTACAGTGGCCGAGAGTCTCATAGGCTCTCGGCCGCGGACCTTGCCCTCTGGTTGGTGCGGGCTAGGATCCGCTCTGCTATTGTTCTCACGGAACGAAGCTTTGGACTTGTGCGCGACCGCATGGCCCAACGGTCGCACACGTGGCAATATGGATACATTACACCCCTACCCCCATAGTCCAGACTACCCACACACAAAGTCCTGTAGGTACGCTGGGGTCTTCCGAGTCCTGGTGGAGCGGCGGGGTTCCGGGGTGACGGCCTGGGCTGCCCCGTAGTCCTGTGGCGGGGAGACGGGTTGCGGTGTGAGTGGCGGCAACGCCGGGGGCTCGGGTGTCACCGGAACTGGAACGGGTGTTTGGGTCTGTGGCTCCGGCTCGTTGGCTGAC